AGAAGAACTCGACGATGACTACATTCATCTGCTACTGCTGTCAAAAGCCAGGCCACCTCAAGCGGGACTGCCCTAAGAAGCCACCTGGACCATGCCCTGACTGTAAAGGTGACCACTAGAGGTCGGACTGCCCTCTGAAGCAAAGGCCCCAGAGTTCAGACTCTCCTACCAGCTGGTCCAACAGGAATGAAGGGGCCCAGGGCATACTCCGCCTTCTCCCTCTGGCCAGACTTATCTCCAAGCAGGAGCCCCATGTAATCACGACTATAGAGGAAAAAGTAAACAGCCTATTGCTGGACACTGGTGCTCGTCTCTCGGTCCTTCTTTTCAATCCCGGCCTTCCTTCCAGCCATCATACCTCAGTGAAAGGAGTCACTGGTGAGGAGGTAATATGCTATTTTTCACAACCCTTAGGCTGTAACTACTTGTTACATCTTTCTTGCATATCTCTGTTTTCCTGAGAAACCACTTTGAAGATACCAACATGTATTACAGCAGCCACCGATAATTTCCTACCAATCTGTCCATAACTCTGTAATGTCTGTATTGTTCCTATGCTATTTCGTAAATGGATGTATGTTTATTACTATGTATTTCCAACAACCATTGAGAATAGTCAGATTATTTAATTGATCATTCATGTATAGCTGTTTTCTCTAGAAACCACTTTGAAGAAACCAAAGTACAGTACAACAACCATTGATAATTTCCTACCACTTTTGTCTGTAACTCACTATTATTTGTCTATTTGTTTTCCTGAGAAACTATCTTGAAGATACCAATAGGTAAAATAACAACCATTGATAATGTCCTACCACTTTGTCTATAACTCGGTAAATCCCCCTACTACTATGTTATCCTTCTTTTACTCTTTAAAATTAAAAAAAAAAAAGTTGCAAGTATAGAAAATCTAATTTCCATATAGTCCAAGTTGGCCTAAGGATTAGATTTTCCTTACTGTTTTCACTTCCATTTAAATACTGATCATATAATATCTACAAACCAAGAATCCCTTATGTGAACTCCTCTCACAGTTCCCTATAAAGGAATTAAAATGATCACCAGGACTCAATGAAGCATTAAGGTAGTCCTTCTCCCTGGGTGTGAGAATAAAAATGACATAGGCAAAAACAAAAACCAAAACAAAACCAAACTGTTCCCTCTTTGAAAAAAACCTGCACACTGTCCTATTTAACTCTTAATTCAGAAAAACCCTCTAATCTTCTTCCTTGAAAAATGAAAAAAATTTTAGCACACATTGCTAGCAAAATCTGTTATAAACACCAAGACAGGCAGTGTTAAGTGAAGAATTCACATGCTGCTTTAAATGAGCCGGGTATAATGAAGTTTCTTACACTAGGTATTTCACTACTCAACTGTCAGTATATAACCACTTGTAAGGGCTATGTTATAGAAAGCAACTCCTGTAGAGTGTGAGAATATGAAATTTCAAATATGTTCCTCCAACTTGTAAACTCTTTCCATCTTAAGTGTTCAGTTCACTACAGTTCTTGGAAAAGTATACAAGTTTTGTGCAATAATACCACCTCAATTTTTCTTTGGTTGCTCTCTCTCATTTTAGAGAGACAGGCTATTGCTATGTTGCCCAGGCTGGCCTTGAACTTCTGGACTCAGAAGATACTCCTGCTTTGGACTACAGATGTGCCACCATGCCAGTGTAGCATCTCAATTTTTAACTTTATGTTCTGGCGTGCCAGGCTGGCAGCTCACACAAGATCCCTTTCAGAAAGCAGAACCTCAAAACAGGGCTGTGCTGATATGATGGCTAGGTGGCTCCTGGCATTATCACTTTGTGATAATACGGATATACACGCTGATATGCTTTTTGGCATACCTGTCTCTTCTTTATTGTGAATTCCTCTGAGACAGGGGATGTTTTACTCTCTCTTCATACTAGCACCGTGCAGGGCATGTGAAAGATACTCATGTGAGAGTTTTGATAAAGTTTATTGAATAACAGAAGTGAAGATCAAGGAGAGATCTTTACAGTTTACAAACACTTCTTATGAACTGGAAACATTTTAGTTTAAAGACAGACTATTTTACAGACATAGGAAAATAACTGCTGTAATGAATTCAAATACACAGTATACAGAAAGATCTGATGTTTTCTAGCTGTACATACTCAATTTAAAGGTGGCTAAAGTTGCTACCTTCTGTATGCTCTGCTTCTACCTTTCTAGGCATCTGCTATTGCTAAACTGGTCCCTAATATTGGCTGGGATTGGGAAGAATGACAATCTGGAAATGCTAAGAGGAAGAATGGGGAAAGAACAAGAAGATATTGCCCAAGAATGACATAAGACAAAGCTGAAACCAGATCTTCAGGTATTACTGGGCAATGACTTCTGAGAGAAGAACCAACACTACAACTCCCGTATTAATTTTTTTTCTACAGGATGAACTATGCAAACATAAATGTACCTATATGGAGTATAAATTCACCATGTAAGCCAAGGATAAAAAACAAAAAATGAACCAAAAAAAAGGCTCTGGGTAGCCAAAACAGTGGCTTCAGAGTTCACTTATTAATACTAACAGAATGGTCAGCAGAACCTAACTAAGCCAATGTCATTGTTTTACATTCAATTTCAGGAAGCAGAGTGATCTGAGTTTCTTCTCCATAGAAGACCAGAAGCTGTATAACTTTCCAGCTCCTGAATGACACCATGAAAAGCAGATTCAATAATTTAAAAAGCAGAGGGGGCAAACAACCTACATTTCTCAGCCATTTAAAGCCTTACTCAAGCTGGCCATGGTGGCGCACACCTGTAATCCCAGCACTTGGGAGGCTGAGGCAGGAGGATTGTTGCGAGTTCCAGACCAGCTTGGGCTCCAAAGTGAGCTCAAGGCCAGCCTCAACTGCACAGCAAGACCCTGTCTCAAAAAGACAAAAAAAAAAAAAAAACAAAAGGCCTTACTCAATTACTATCAGTAATGGATGACAGTAATCACAACTTTGGACAATAAAAGAAATGGTTGAACTATATTGTTTTAAAAAAGTAAATAATAGATTATAAGAACTTTTCCATAAAGAGTATAGCTAAAATATGAATTCTGCATGTACTTTATTTCCCATCAACATTGGATAAATGAGGCATGACTATACACATGCCTCAGGTTAACATCTGAGAGATGGAATGATAGGTTTTATTGCCTCCTCAGTCCTGTTTGTGGTTCTGTTCTCTTTACATTCATAATTTTATATTCCTTGACCTTCTTTTATAAGGCACCCAAATTAGCACCCTCTCCTCTCAAAGGGTTGTTATCTTGTCACAAAGTACACATCTTGAGTACACACTAAAGTTCACTGACTCTTTCCTCCATCAGTCTCTGATCTCTCTCTTACTGAGATGACAGTTGTACCCTCAGGATTCTCTAGGTACAGACAGGCATTTCTTTTGTTTTCATTAAGAAAAATAAATGAGAAGATCTCTGCATTATATTTTCTTTTAGGCAGCTATAGCTGTCATGCTGACATTGTAAGCTGGTCAGAAGCTGGTTTCAGTAGCAAAGTAAGGCCTTCTGTTCTGCAGGACAGGCCCACAATAATGAATTCACGAGTCTTTGGAGATTACAGAGGCAGAGTAAGGGAGGGAGGGAGAGGGAGACGGAGAGGGAGAGATACAGACAGACAGAGACAGAAAGAGAGAGAGAGAGAGACAAAGAGAGAGAGAGAGAGAGAGAGGAGAGAGAGAGAGAGAAAGCATGGAAGGAGGATCTACCAGAAAACCCACCTTCAATTTAAGGGACAAGAGAGAAAAGTTGATGCTACTGATATGACCATTACTAAGAGTTCAAACAGCACATTTTCTAAAGGAATCTGAAACACATTTTTTTTGCTTTTTATTTTCTTTTTATCAAAAGAGGACTAAACAATTTCATATTTTGCACTTGGGTATTTCTGCTTCCCTCACAATTCTGCATCTATTTCCTACACAACAAATATTTCCTACACAACTACTGTGTGCTAGCCACTATTAGGTGTGTTAACTGTAACAAAATGTGAGGTGTCACTGCGCTCCCAACCCAATCCACACAACCACCTGGAATTCAGCTCCAAAGTGATCTGACATCTGTGTTTAGAAGACTCTCTTGTGGGGAGAGGGCCACACACCTGTAATCCCAGCACTGGGGAGGCTGAGGTAGGAGGATTGCCTCGAGTTCCAGGCCAGCCTGTGCTACATAGTGAGTTCAAGGCCAGCCTGTACTACGAAGCGAGACCTGTCTCACACAGAAAAAAGAAGACTCTCGCCTTTTTACTGTCTATAACTATGAGCACAGAATACAAACAGCAGTCTTTTGCTTCTACTATGAGATGATAGCAATCAACAAGAGACAACTACTTTGTTAGCTATTTTAAAAAGTTATCAATTTAAGAGCTGAAATTTCTGGTTCCAAAGTTTACCCCACTGAAGCAATAGTCATACAAAGTGTAGGAAGCTGAAGTCTGCCCTGAAACAAAATTTCATTTAGGAATTCAAGATTCGGAGACACAAAAATTATTAATATAACAGCTTAATTTTAAATTAGATTCTCACAGAATCTAGGCAAATAGTAAGCACCTTTAGTACCTGTATCTCAGTTTCTCAATAACGTGTCAGGTTGATTGATTGATATATATATATATATGGAAATGCTCTAAGCTTAGCTCGAAAGTCCTGTGTAAATTCAAGCAAAGTTTGTAACACAGAAAGCACACTGAGGTCACCAGCCCGATTTAAAAAGATCGACCAAAAATTTATACATGACTTTACAATGATTATAGGCATGGTTAATAAACAGCAACTTTAACTTTATCCAACTATACGTCCATAAAGTCCTACACTGTAATAGCTAGATCCTAGATTTTTACTTCCAGGTGACAAATGAAACTTCCAGGGGGAAAATGGTAGCGTGAGAATGATACTGACATTTGGCCCTAGATCCTAGTGGCAGGATCAAGCATCTCTCCTTTTCCAAAATTACAAATTCCTTACCCATCCCGACGCCGCTGTGGTCTGTAAAAGGACCCACTCCCCAGTGGCCTGCCCTTCCGCTTCCCAGCTACAGTAACGTCCTTCTACTCCTCTACCTGGAGACTGGTAACTGAAGGCTGATTAAGATGCCTCTTTGATCAGACCCCGCAATCAAGGACACAGCCTGACAACCGATCACGTCCATCGCTAATGGCAACGTTTCGGCTCGCTCTTAATCGCCGGGCCACCGCACCCGGAAATGAATCTCCAGTGCAACCCACTTTGGACCCGCGTATCATTTCCTCAAGTTGTGCCCCAGTAAGAGCGCCAGGCGCGCGACCCCGAGGAGCCCGGGGTCCACGGGCAAGGCTGTGCTGCCTCCTGCTTCGGGCCTGCAGGGCACTCGGGCTACTCCGCCACAAGGCGGGCCGGTGCAGACCCCGCCAGCGCGCGCTCCTCGCAGGCGGCGGTCGCCCGGCAGGACACCAGGGCGGCACCGGGCCAGCCGCCCCTGGGGACTACGCTCGGTTCGAGAGCTGGTCTCCAGAAAGACGCCCGGCCACCAAAGGCGGCCCAGGTAAGGCCGCCCGCGCCTCGGCGGCCAGCTCGGGGA